CTTGTATATTTTAAATATAAGTGGGAGGTGCCCGGGGAATGAGTAAATCTCAGGAAGGTGGCTTAGAAACACATTTATGTGCACACTGTCTTATCTTCAGCAGAGAGCGGTACATTTTCAAAGACTTGACAGTGCAAAGGGAGAGGACTTTGAATTTCTGTGTGTGCAGCTGGTGGGAGGCAAGGAAGTGGCATTTTGTTTCGTGGACTCCCCTGGAGCCTTCTCCCAGCCGGTCAGTGTCTAAAGTTGTTTGCATTTGTTGAAAGGAGAGACAAGACACTTGCAAATATTTGTCTTGCTTTTAGGCATATAGGGGAAAGCACAGGCTTTTCTTATTCAGTTTCTTCTCAGTTGCGTTCAGCTCAAAATGCTCCCTGTGTCAAAAAGGTACATTGGGGATGACATATTCTGCTCTGCACACCTTCTCAGTAGAGAAAGTTAACTGAGTCCAACCTTGAAATGAACCACATAGTGAAACTCGCAGGTAAGGGTTGTAAACTGACTGCATAAGGATTGTCCATGAAATAAAGCAAAGTCTGCATTCAGTGAATTAAAGAACTAGGGAATCTCAGTAGAGAAATAGAAACAAAAAAGTAATCTTACAGGGGGTTACAACTGAAATTAAAATCTCACTGGACGGACTTAGAAGAAAGAGATGAGTGAACTTGAAAATAGATTAATGAACATTATTTAATACGAAAAATAAAGAGAAGAGAGTGAAGGTATAAAGAGGAACAGTGCTGTAGCACCTTTTAGATTAAAGTGAACCAGCCAGTATATGTGTAATTGGAGCCTGGAAGAAGGCATGGAGTATTAGATTATAGTGAACCACTCGGTATATATGTAATTGGAGCCTAGGAGAATGCAGAGAGATGCAACAGAGAAAATACTTCAAAGGTACGAGTTCCTGAGTTCAGTTCACAGACAGGTTTATGAAGATTCAGTCAAGTTTGTTTGAAAGTATCATAATTGTGCTGTGTAGGTCAAGATGCCTAATAAAACAAATGCTTCCAAGAATGAGTCTCAACAATTTATAAAATTCAAAAATAAAAATTGATAATGGAGGGGGCTGGGGATTTAGCTCAGCGGCAAAAGCGCCTGTCTGGCAAGCGCAAGGTCGTGAGTTCGGTTCCCGGTACCGGAGAAAAACCAAAAAAAAAAAAAAAATTGACAATGGAGTTGTCAGAGAAAGGTTAGAAGCACAACAGAAAGAAGTAGAAATCATCCAAAGCATATGTCTTCTGAAGGATGAATCATATTAATCTAAAGCAGATAAAGATAGCATCCAACAAAAGAAAAACCTGGCAACCTCTTTCAAAGAGTATGAGGGAGCATTTGCAAACTAGGGTGGAAGCAGTGATAATAGCAGTTTTGAGTAATAATACTAGAGAAAAAGAACAAATTCAGAGTCATCTCAGCTCCCTGAAGGTTGCTATAACTGTTTGAAACTCTGAAAGCCCCTCTCCACAAGCTGAAATATTTAACTAATGTGTCAAGTCTACTGAGCACAAGCCAGAGAAAAATGAAGAAGGACTGGCATTATTGTGGGAGGAAATGGATAACATTGTACAGGCTACAGAGTCTGTGACTGGAAATTTTCAGAGTCTAAATAAAACTGAAATTCTGGCACATGAGATAGAGAAAGAGGAAGAAAAGGCAAAAGAAGTGTGTTTCTATTTAGATGCTTCGAATGGATAGACGTAGCATACTTTCTCTCCGAGAGCTTTCTCAGAACAGTCTGAAAACACTCACACTGCAGAAAGAAATTTTGATACTAATTCCAAACCCAGATGTTCTTCTGAAAGACTCGGATGTTCTTCATAATTCATCCCAGATGAGGAACGTGGCATTGTTCATCAGAGAAGCCTGTAAGAAACTAAATGCCTCTTAGAGAATTTTTTAATATTGTTTCCTATTAATTTAATATTTATAAATTGTAAAACTGTTAACCTGTAATGTTACAGAGGCTAAAGCTTCTGCAGGATTTATTTTTTTTGTTTTGGTTTGGTTTTTTTGTCTTTTTGAGGCAGGGTCTCGCTATGCAGTTCAGGCTGGCTTTGAGCTCACTTTGTAGCCCAGGCTGGTCTCAAACTCACAGCAATCCTCCTGCCTCAGCCTCCCGAGTGCTGGGATTACAGGCATGCGCCATTCTGCAGGATTTATTATCCTCTAATATGCACTTTAAAATTGGCTTGTGTAGACCTATCATTAGTATCTAGTATAGTCCTAAAAACTGTTTTTAGCAGTTAAGAAACCTAGAAAATCAGTATTTATATTGCTGTACTGCAGTTATTTGCCTAAGACATAAAACAGGAATAGCCATGATCTGATAGTTTATGGCGGCTAAGTAAGGTTCATGTATTGGTTGGCACAGAGGAGATGTGATGCTGTGGTATTGTATATATGAAGTGCTTATGTTTAGTGCATAAGAATAAAAACATAAATTTTGCCATCACTTACTCTTTAGCTAAGAGCTTGCACTTTCTGTCTGGTTACACGGAACTTTAGAAATCCCTGAGTGCCTCTACCCTTACCTGACCCCCTAATCTTCTCCGTCAGTAGTTAAGATTCTCTAGGTACCCTCAACGTTGAAGGTGGCACTGAATTTTTTTCTTTTGTTTTAAATATTTATTTTCTACTGTCATCAAAGCACGCTCTTAAGAAAATTACTAAAAAGGAGCCTAAGTACATTTATTCCCTTAAAACAAAACCAACCAAAAAATTTTTGAAAAAACCCAGTGCATGAGAACCAGCCACCAAAGATACAAGGTACTGAGAGACTAAAGAAGGCAGCAGACATTTAGGGTTACTAAATGCAATTTACGAGACACACAAGTGTATCTCGGACAGCAGAAAAACAGGCAGATTCTTGCACCCCGGATTTCAGCAAGAGAAAGAAGGGGATTATATGTTAAAGCAGACAAAGGTGGCCCATTGCTAATTAGAATGTATGATAATAAGCTTTTATATATAAATAAATACTTAAATAATCAAATATCATTTCTGAGCAACTATTTATAAAATAAAATAATTGAAATCTATTTCTGTGTCTGTTGAAATTGAAATCTATTTTTGGGTCTTTTATCAGTTTATTTAGAAGTTACTGGGTCAGGCATGATGGCACTAACCTGCCATCCCAGCATTCGAGAGGCTGAGGCAGAAAGATCACCAAGAGTTCAAGGCCAGCCTGGGCTACATAGCAAAAGACCTTATCCCAAAAAAAGAGGAAGTTACCATAATTCTGTTAATGTTCTCCAGGCAGAGACCAGCAGGAACACACCTGTAGTTGAGCAGAGTGAGTTTATGCTTATTGTGATGAGGAAAACCACATGTCATGGGGATCCTGGAACAGCTCGGTAAAAGCATCAAAAGCAGTATCCTCTTAGGAAATAATGGTAAGAAAGACCATTAATGAGTTTTAAGGGGAAAGAGACTTCAAGAAAGGAACTGTGGCAAAGAGACTAAAAGTAACAGATCCTACAAAATATCCTTAAAAACTCTTCACTGGAAATTTAAAGTCTCATGCTGACGAACAGAACCTGTGCTAGTTAACTGATTGTGTCAATTTGAGTAAGAATTGCCCAGCTAAGTTGGATCAGCATAGTTCTGGGTGTGGCGAAAGGGATTTACTGAGGATTTGCTGGGATTTACTGGGTGTGAGTGACAGCAGCCAATAGGCTTGCTACCTGAATGGTATGAAAGGGAAACGAAGAGGGAAGGCTCACTCATTTCTTCAGAGGAGCTCCAGTCTTCACCTTCACCTGGGACCCCATCACCTGGCTTGCAGCACAGCCCCTCAGCCTCCTGATACAGACGTGCACCATACACTGCAGTGAGCTGCAAGCCTTTGACTGGATCCTTTGGATCTTCAAGGCACAGGCAGCCCCTTTGCACTTTCCACACCTGACTGCAGGCAGCCATTGTAAACCAATCTTGTAAATTCTTACATACTTCTATATCTTGCATTAAAACTGTTTCTCTAGAAAAAAAACATATTTCAAGAAATAATGGTTGAGAATTGATAAATTCAGTCAAAGAAACTTACAGTGCAAACTACCCGGCAGACACCTAGCATAATGAGTATAAGGGTGCCACAAAAGGCAGAGGTAAAGAGCAAATCTTGAAAGAAACAGGGACATCACACATTATAGAGGGACTTAATAGCTGATTTCTCCTTAGAAATCTTGGAGACCAGAGGAGAGTTAAGCAACATATGAAAACACTGGAGGAAATCTATGATACTTGCTTTTATTTGCATTTCACTAATCACCAGGTGATGAACATTGTGTAAGACAAATATGCAGCAGAGACCACCAGGCTTGTGTAAAGGCCACATGGCAAGGAATCTTTTGTCCTGGGTTCAGGCAGAGTGTGATAAGATCTTCTGCCCTGAACAAAGACAAGTGTGTCTCTGTTATAGGGATGGACGAAGGTGGGGAACCTTAGGCAGGAAGGTTCCAGTGAACGTCTGTGGTTAAAGTTTTCTGGCAATCTTGCCTCTCCAGTGGGCTGAGTCCTTTGACGTGTCCATTGTAGAGTCTTAGGTGTATCCGGATGTCTCCAGGTCCTGCAGAATTCCTTGTCCTGTCTTCCTTCCTTTCCTGTGTTTGCCGAGTGCTAGCTGCGTTCCCTGCAGAGAACAGTGCTTCTGCTGGCGAGCAGGCGGGGGGCTGGGAGAGTCAGGCCAGGTTGGGGACTTACACATTTGTGCTTCTCATGCTCTTTCCCTTATAAAAGTTAAGATGTTGGTAGAGTCAAATCTGTCTCTCTGGTTTGTGTGTCCCCTTCTTTGACTTCTGCAGGTTATTGTCCATCATCCTACTTAAGTGGTGTTACCGTGTGGGATGTTACATCATAAAATACTAACCCTGTAAAAGCCAGTGAGGCACTGAAATGGGCCATGACAAACAACTTCTGTCCTCATGTCCATGCAGCTTAGGCGGTTACTACATTTTCCAGTTCCTGTGAAATTTAAATTTCTCTCTTCTTTTGGTTCTCAGATCATTCAGAATTTCACTAGGAGGATCCAGACCAAAATCAAAGATCTTCTACAGCAAATGGAAGAAGGGCTAAAGACAGCTGATCCTCATGATTGCTCTGCTTATACTGGTTGGACAGGTAAGAATGTGGGAATAACCAATGTTTTATTCTTGGATCATGATATGTAAGACTTGGGTTTAAACTTTCCTTTTGTGCCGGGCATGGTGGTGCACAGTGTAATCCCAGCACTCAGGAGCTGAAGCAGGAGGATCACCATAAGTTCAAGGCCAGCCTGGGCTACAAAGTGAGTTTTAAGCTAGCCTGAACTGCATAACAAGACCCTGTCTCAAAAATAAATACATAAATAAATAAATAAATTTTTAAAATTTAATTTCCTTTTCTTTTAAAATGGTAATGTTTTATACTGTTGGAGTCTTGAACTATGTCTTTATTGATAAGGGGCTTTGTAATTTTATGTCTAAAGAAATACTTTCTACCAGAATTTTGATTTATAGTATGCAGTATGTTGTATTTTTATAACATTATTTATTTAACCTAATATATAGTTGTGAAAATGTGTAACAGCAAACATGCCTTATGATTTTGTTGGTTTTGCGTTTTTTGGTTTTTTTGGTTTTTCTGTGGTACCGGGAATCGAACTCATGACCTTGCACTTGCCAGGCAGGCGCTGTGCTGCTGAGCTAAATCCCCAGCCCCTGGTTTTGCTGCTGTTACTGCTTCAGTCATGTGAGAAGTTGTGTTTGACTTTCTCCAGTCTGTTTCATAAACTGTTTACCCTACTGCGTGTACTCAATTTGACTCACTGACACACATCAAGGTTACTATTTTAATTTTATAAACAACTGGTGATATACTTCATATCATAACGCATAATTTCAAAATAGACTTGCCTTAACTTTACCTTCTACTATTTTACTAGGTAGCCACACATAGTAACTATTTGGAGTTTATAAAGGAAGTAAGATAGAGCATTGTTTTTGTGGATTAAAGTCTGACTAAATTGCTAATAATGATTAACATATAAATTTAGAATCATTTCCAGCTAAAGTTTTATACTTTAATCAATAAGCAGCATACACAGAGGTATAATACCTGCCTTTACAATGCATAACCAAACATGATGGTCTGGTATTAATATTGCATTCATTTTAGTGATGTGTCATTTATTGTTTGCCTTTTATGAGTGCAACATTTACACATTGACATTAGAATTGAATATTTAGACTTACATGCCAAGACTGACCTACACAGTCAAATAAGTTTATCGTAAATGTAAAATTAGATGTTTTGGTTAACCAGAAGTAAAATACAAAGAATATTTTGGAAAGGAAAATACACTTGGAAAGGAAAAATGACATGCCATTAGTAGAACAAGTTTCTCCTAAAATGTCTTTTAGTATTTTTTCTTGTTGTTGAAAAAGGGTTGTTTTTAATCCCAAGTGTTAGGTTCCAACCTGGCTGTGTGCCAGCATCATCCAGAAAGCCATACAGTACACTAAGAGAACAGTTACATTAAGAACTCTGGAATCCATTCTTCTGTTTAACTGCTTGCATCGTGTGGTTCCACAAGTGGCAGGTGATTCCCTGGTTAGTTGGTCAGTTGGATGGGTTGATCACTAAAGAAAATGGAAAAAATTTTAAAAACAGGAAAATTCGAAAGAAGGCATAAAATCCAGAAAAGTAATTGTTTTATTTGGGGTAATACAGGAAGAAATGATATGTGAAAAATACAAAGAAAAGGATCCAAGTTTGCTTGAGATATAAAAGAGAGTGAGTACACCCTGGAAAATTAACCAGGAAAGGGAGGACCTTGGTAACTCTCCCTGATGAGGAGTAGATATATTGAATACTACCTCAGGACAATGAGCAAGACAGTAGATTTAAACTTGTTTTATGTCTTTTTCTACCCGGATATCTGTGTCTTGGGTTTTTGTTTTGTTTTCATTTTGAAGGATTTTTTTTATGTTGCCCCTTTTGAAATGTAGAGGTCTCGTGGAAGGTATCTCATGTAATTACGAGAGAACACTCCGAGGTGAAAGGAGCGCTCACGGTGCTTTTGTTTGGGGGGACTCATTCCAGGCATAGCCCTCCTGTACCTGCAGCTGTCCCGGGTCACTGGTGACCAGGCTTACCTGCTCCGGTCCCTGGATTATGTCAAGCGGACACTTCGGAATCTGAATGGCCGCAGGGTCACTTTTCTCTGTGGAGATGCTGGGCCGCTTGCCGTGGGAGCTGTGATCTATCATAAACTCAAGAGTGACTGCGAGTCCCAGGAATGCATCACAAAGTGAGCTTTTCAAATTGGGGATGTTTTCTCCAAATTCTCAGTTGGAGCTCTTTCAGCAGGAAGACTTGCAAAAAGAACGTTATTTTTAGTTAGTGTACTGTTACACACAGGGCTCTGCAAAAAGTGGGTCCTGTGCTGTTTCTTTCCAAGCATGGGGATCCCTTAATTGGAGGGAATACACACGTTTCTTTAGTCATTTTTCCTAAGCAATTTGGTTACCTTTCACGAATGAAAACTAGCTTACATGCCTTAGGTCCAGGAAAACGACAAAATTAAGCCTTCAGTAACTGATTAGATATGCTAATGATGGACCAGTTACAGGGTATGTGCCCCTAGTATGCCTACTGTCTCACATTCTTTCTTGGAAAAGCAGAAATGAAGGCCCATTCCCAGGGACTCAGAGTGTCTGGCACGTGCCCATCAGCTAGTGTTTCCTGAAAACTCAGAGGAGTCAGGCTCATTCCAGAGCCCAGGCACATTTCAGTAATTTTAAATTACTTTCTTCTAATGATGGGTTTCATAATGGAATATCTTCTATTATATGGCTTAAAATACATATGAAGGCAGAAATTTTGAGCAGAAAGATGCTTTTTTCTTAATTTTGATATTTGACAGAGGAATTAGTAAAGTGGAAAAGTTTTACCTGTTTGCTGGGTTTATATTTTTTGAATCACAGGTTAAATTGTCAAGTAAATAGCAGATAATTCCCCAGGTGATGAGGTGACTCAACTGTGTCAGGAAGAGGTATTTTAAGCATTTCCTGGGAAACAGAATTTTTTTGTTCATTAGACTTTTGCAGCTGCACAGAACCGTGGTCTGCCAAGAGTCTGAGCTCCCCGATGAGCTGTTGTATGGACGGGCAGGGTATCTGTATGCCTTACTGTACCTGAACACGGAGATTGGCCCAGGCACCGTGTGTGAATCTGCTGTTAAGGAGGTAATGTGGGATGCTGACCTGTGGGCATTCACAGCTCTCTGTTAACACAGACTTACCATGTTCACAGCTGGGTTCTGCTGGTGGGTAGCATTAATTTTTTTAAAGCATCTCATAAAAATTTTAAAATAGCTCTTTTGGATTTCGGGACTTTTTAATTAGTACATTTTGCAATACAAATGTGGAATTTTTTTTAAGTTTAATCTTTTATTCACCCTTTATGGATTCAGTTGGTTTTACTGGAGCCAAACAATAGCAACTGTAAATATTTAGAATTGTTATTTCCCTTTTGTGAGATGTATGAGGCCCATGTGGCTGGGATCCACCCTCTTCTGTCTTACTAGACTGTGTCTGCCACACACCTCTTCTACATGATCAGACTTGGTTTGGGCCCATAGCCAGGTATGGGAGGTGGGTAAAGGAAGTAGAGGGAAAACAGCTTCCTTTGTCACGGTGCTCACATCGTCCGTTGCCAAAACTTAGGGAAAAGGCTGTGCTGAGCCTCTCCAGCTCTGAGGCCAGATGCCTAGCTAAAACTTGAAGTACTTTAGCAGAAGGGTGAGAGGAGCATGGGCATAAGGAGACAGTTAGTGTCTTTACGCATAGTCATTCCCAACATGATATTGTGTTCTTACTGACATCCTTCACGCCACAGCAGACTGCATTTCATTGGTCTCTCATCAGTGAAGCCAGTTCCTCAACTTTCTTCCCTAGAATTATTTTGGGGAAAACATTGCAGCTACAAAGCAAAGAAAATGTCTGGAACCATGTTTAATTCTGAAGTTCGTTTTAAGTTCAGTAAACTTTTCATACAATAAATTTTTGATTCTTTGGTTAGACTTCTTAACATCTTTGTCTATGCTCATATTATCTTCCCATTCCTCTCTGCCTGCACTTACTAATTTATAAAATAAATAGAACTATGTTAGCTCCTATTTAAAGATTTTTAGATTAAGTAATTTCTCTCCCTCTACATTTCTCCCTCCCTCTCCCCACACACATTATTAATGTTAGTTATACTAAAAGAGGATACATGTCATTGTTTTAGATTTATGTGTCTCAATATCTCTACAGGTAGTCAATGCTATTATTGAATCAGGCAAGACTTTGTCGAGGGAAGAAAGAAAAGCTGAGCGCTGTCCCTTGTTGTATCAGTGGCACAGGAAGCAGTATGTTGGAGCAGCCCATGGCATGGCTGGAATCTACTACATGTTAATGCAGGTAGGCAACAATGCTCTGCAATGCTAATGCAGCAACCGTATCACAGTATAGTTAGATCCAATATGAATGGGAAGTTAAATTCTTAGTACAAAACAAGTAGGCTGAATGAAGGTGCCTCCTGCTTTCAATTGTAGACGCTTACGCTCGGCTTTGTGAGCTGGCAGCAATGAAGAGCACACTCTGTGTGTAGTTTTGTGCCAGGGTTGTTGCTCATCACCAACACTTTTCTTCTGTGATTGTCCTGCTGAGTAAAGTAAATGCTAGTAAGTTGAGGAGTATAGATTAGAATTTAGATGTTTTTGACTAACAAGCTCATATATTCTTTTTTTAAAATTTTGCTTCAAAACTTTTTAATCTACTACATTATGCTGCTGTTGCCTAAAGGAAAACAGGAAATTTATATCTAATAGGACCAAATCCTCCTTTTTTGTAATTAATTGTTAGTATTATAGAAAGTAAAAAATACATATATTCTGATTGAGAATTTTCTTATACATTTCCAAAGTAACCAAAATTCCATCTCATTTTAAAATGATGTTGTTATTCTGAAGTTCGTAGATTTTGTTTATGCATTAGGGTTCTCTAGGGAAACACTTACATACACCCTGAAGCACTTACTTTAGGAACTAGCTTTATGCAATTGTGGTGGCTGAGAAGTTCCACAGTCCGCCATATGGAAGCTTGAGATCCAGGGAAGACTGTGATACAATTCTAGTCTGAATGCAAAAGCTGAGGGCCAGGGGAACCGTTGCTGTAATCCCAGTCCCGGACAGGAGGAAGCTAATGTCCAGCTCAAGCTTCTGGGCCGGAAAGAGCAGCTTCCTCCCTTCTTGGCCTTTGGTTCCACTCAGGCTGAAGTGGACTGGATGCCACCCTCACCGGCAAGGCCCTGTGCTTCACTGCATCCAGAAGTTCAGATCTGCTCTCATCTGGAACACGTGCGCAGACACGCCCAGAAATCATATTTGGACACTCACGGCCCATCAAGTTGACACATACAGTTAACCATCACCGTAGGCACTCTGTCTTTCCAAAAATTTTTAACACTAGGTCAGGAACCTGCTGGTTTTTAATATGATAATACCCGTAGAGGGCAACATCATAATGTGTAACACTACTAATGTAGTTTAGATTCAGGGATTTAGTTTGACTTTATTACATAGAGGAATTTCTTTGAGAAAAGTAACAGTCATGAGATTTTCCACTAATCTACTTTTAAAATGAAGAACATGGGATAGTGGTAGCCAAGTGTTTTACTTAGAAGTGCGCAGGAGCCGGGGACATGGTGCCTGCCTGGCAAGCTCAAGGTCTTAAGTTTGATTCCCAGTATGGGGAAAAAAAAAGAAGAAGTGCACAGGAGTGTTTATAGAAGGTTGAACTGTGGTGGAGCTGGCTCAGAGGTTGGCTTGCACTCCCCTTTCTGGTCCCAAAGGCCGTACACATGCCCTTGTGTGGTCAGGCAGTCAAGTGGCAGTAGCCCACCATGTGCTGTCATTTGGAAAGCATCAAAACAGTATATGAGGAGACTTTTAAAATATCACTTAAACAGAACTCTACTTTCCAGTGTCAGAATAAAGACAGTTGTTTTCTTGAAAGTCCTTTCAAAATAACAAGAACACAAACTCAAATTTTTTGTTAAAACCAGAAAACATATTGAGTCCCAAACTATGCACGTATAAGCCAAAAATTGGAGAAAGACGGTGTTACAGTTTAGACTGAGAAGGTCCCCCAAAAGCCACCTGCACTCGTAGAAAGGGCTTTTGGGAAGTGATTGAGTCAGGGCGGGGCTGTAGCTGTCTTGTTAGGAAGCGGGGTCTGGTCAGAGGAGGCAGGTCACGGGGGGTCCTCAGAGGGTGGGTCTCCTTTCCTCTCCTCGCTGCTTCCTGCCCAAGACGAGTGGCAATGGCCTGAGTGCCTAAGGAGGAGGCTGCCAGCAAGAAGCAAGCCACCTTCTCCTGCAGAGCCCTGCGGCTGGGAACTTCAGGTGCTGCCTACCATAAACACAGCGCTACCGCAGGTCTCCCCTGAGCCTTCAGCCTGCGGCCACCCTATCAGGTCGTAGTCTCCTCGAGTCTCTACGACACATGGGCCAAGAATCCCTTAAAACAACCCTATTTCTCTCTGCACACTCCCCTGTTGGTCCTGTTTCTCCTGAGAACCCTAACTAGTACACTGTCCAGTCCTCTAAGGTGATTTCTACCATTGGACAGATCTCTCCTGTGCAGAGCATGTCCTACTGGCTGTGTACTACTTTACGCAAGAATATAAACCAGCAGCCACACAATTACCAGACATCTGAGGAAAGCCTCCAGCTTGAAAGATTAGAGACCTAAACATGTGGAGAAAGAAACTCAGAGAAAACAGATTATCTGGGAAGAAAAGGGAGTGTCAAAGAAACCATCATTAGTAATTAATGTCCTTAGGCAAACAGGAGAAGCTATCCTGTCCAAGGAGCAAGAAACGTTTTAGGGACAACAAAGAGCTCTTGAATATTAAAAATAGAATAACTGATTTTTCTTCCTGCGGTACTGGGGATTGAACCCGGAGCCTTCACATTAATCAACATCTTCAGCCCTTTTTATTTTTTATATTTTGAAACAAGCTCTCTCAAGCTGCTATGTTGCCCAGATTAGACTCAAACTTCTCTCCTTCTGCCTCAGACTTCCAGAGTTCTGGGATTACAGGCATGTCCCACCAAGCCCAGCTGAATTATTTGATTTTGAAAATGTTTGGAAATCAAACTCAAGCATCTTAGAAATCAGAGAGAAATAAACAATAGGGGAGGAAATTATAAGAGAATTCATTCAAAAAGTCCACTGTCTACTAGGACATCAAGTAAGGAAGGACAGTAATTGGTGGGGAGGAATTTTAATAAATGCAATAAAAGAAGATGTTCTAGATCGGAGACATGAGTCACCAAATTGAAAAGACCTACCAAGGTGCTGTCCATGAATGGTGGGAGAACTCCACACCATGCCTACCACTGTGAAAACATGAGGTAGAAAGACATGCTTAAAATTTCAGAAATAGACAACAGGTTACACACCAAGGCTGGACGTCAAAATGGCATCAGACTTTGTAATAGTTTCACTGGAGCTAAAAGACAAATGGAAATGACTTCCACGTTCTGAGTAAAATTGATTTCCTTCACTGAGTTCTGCCTAGACAGTTGTCAATTAAATGTAGGGTAGAACAGAGACAATTTTAAACAGCCAGTTTCAAAAACCTGAATTCTCCTGTACCCTATCTTTGGTAGCTCCTGTAATGTGATATCTACCCAAAGAACAGAGCTTACCATGAAAGGAGGTGTGAGAGCCAGGTAAGGGGCTCAGAGCAAAGGACAGGGACTAGCATCTCCAGGAACTGGGCAGGTGGAAGTTCCAGGGCAGCAGTTGTACACAAGACCTAGATGGCAGCCAGTGAAGACTGGAGGAAGAATGGAGACATAAAAATATCCTAGGACATCTCGCTACACAAAAGATTATGTGGAAAAACTTGACAGAGCTGTTAATGGGTGCAAAAGAGTTCAGATGGCAATTCATAGAAAACCAAGCATAAAAAAGTGTGAGGAAGTTACTGTAAGAAAAGCCAGAAGTGGGGCTGGGGATTTAGCTCACTGGCACAGCGCCTGCCTGGCAAGCGCAAGGTCATGAGTCCGGTTCCCAGTTCTGGAAGAAAACCAAAAAAAAAAAAAAAAAAAAAGCCAGCAGTCATACAAGAATACACGTAGGTAATTTACTGTATCCCTATATCAGCAGCAAGCAATCTTGACCTGTGAAGAACACAGTGATTATGAGATACAACCAAAAATGGTGACTGGAAGAAGATTCATGGGTGATAGCAAGAGGGAAAGTGCTCTCCTCTGCTGCCACAGGGCAGGCCACAGGTGAAATCTGAGAGAGTAAGTCCAGACAGCATCATGCGTGTGTTATTGAGGAATTGAAGAAATGTAAAGAAACCAGTCGAATAGTGGGACTCACTTGTGTCCTGGAAAAGAACACTGGCTGTCATTCTTTGCAGGAAGCTTCCTAAGCATGTTTTGATTTTTATTTTCAAAACTGTTTTCATCTATTGCCTGTATAAAAGTAATTTTTAAACCACCATTAACTTTTCAGAAGTACTCTTCATGATGCATAGTTTGAAAAAAAGCAAATACATTCTTAATTGTGGAAAGGGAAAACTCCTAAAGATTTTCTCATATGTAAATTTTTTTTTAAACATTAAAGTTGTTTTACTTCAGTGAGGTTTAGAAGCACTGGGTATCCCTTAAGTTATCTCTTTTCTTCATACTTAAGATTAACTTTTTGTTAAAGAAATGAGGTTTTCAGTTTGTTTTACAGACTAAAGTGTCATGCAGTATTTTCTTTGGATTTAATAGCATAATAAGAATTTTTAAGCAATATGTTCCTTCATAGTTAGAAGTGTAGTTTATGTCATCTCTGGATATTTCCATCAGAACCGAATGAAAGTAGGAACAATGGCCGAAGACTATTTCTCTAACCCATATGTTACAGTGATGCAGACTTGCATCACCCTGAAATCACTCTGGCGTGTGTCACCCTGAAATCTTCAGTTGGCCTTGTCTTGCCATTGATTATTGCCACCAAGTCTTGCATGTAAATCTGTAATCTCTCGAACACCTTTGAATGTTTTTTTAAGTCTCTTTAAAAAGAAGTGCCTCAAAATTAGTAAATATTTTCCAAGCTTGTTCAGTCTTAGTCTCTGTGATGGATTAACTAATGACCAACTTGTAACACCCAGTGAGCATTGGCCCACCTGAGGATTGTCAGCAGCAGCATAAAAGGAGAACTAGAAGGGAAGATGGTGTGCTGTTGATTCTCCTGGAGAGGTTTGTCGTGCTGGTTTTCCTGATATGAACTCCTCGTCAGAGGAGCTCAGGTCCTCACTGTCACTGAGCATGGCTACAGTTCTCTTCAGGGAAGCTCTGGTTCATACCTTGAGCGTTGCTTCCTGGCTCCAGTACAGATCCCTCAGCTGCTGGCAGTGTTATACCTGGTGGTACCAACTTTCCAGCTTCCACCACTGGCCTCTGGGCCTTCCCAGTGCAGATCCTTGACAAAGACTTGCATGAGTCATGAGCTCTAGGCCTCCAGCTGGACTCGTGGAGGATATTGCCATGGGCTGTAGGTCTTCAGCTGGGTTTGTGCAGGACATTGTCATGGGATCCAGGCCCTCAGCTGGATTCTTTGGATCTCTAGTGCATGGACAGATCTCTTGCACTCTTCTGCATTTGACTTTTTGGGTGACTATTATGAAATAGTCGTATAAATTGTGTTCCTGTATTAAATCTGTTTCCTTGCAAATCCTGACCACAACAGACTCTATAGTAAAATTTTAAAACACTTATTATTAAAATTTTAATAATAAGTTTGAATAGGTAACATTTAATGAGTGCTTTCAGGAAGTAATAGCTATTATTACACACGAATTATTGGATGAAAGAATGGAGTATGCATTTTTTTGTCAGTTACTCCTCACAACCTCGGAGTTGAATACTGTGATTATCCTGTCAAGAAAAGGAAGTTAAATAATTCTCCTGAAGTGACAAAGTCCGTGAATAGATATGGCAGGAGGGGGTACTTGGCTTCTTAGGAGGTAAGTGCCACATGGAAGAAATCAAGAACTAGTATTTAGACAAAGCAGAACAAAAACAAAATCTTTCATAGAGACTCAACCAGGTCTCCTTCCCTACTCTAAGATGATTTTCTTCCATGTTGCTGGTCCTGATTCACCAAAGAAAACAAAATATGTTTGATACATTATAGCACTAATATATATATTTTTGGTGGGGGGGTTACTGGGAATCAAACTTAGGACCTCACACTTGCCAGGCAGGTGCTGTGCAGCTGAGCTATATTTATATTTTCAAAAGATTTCAAAATCAGTTGAAACAAAAAAGTGGCCTGCCTAAGTCTTTAAAAAATCAGATAGAGCTGGGCGTGGTGGCACACACCTGTAATCCCAGCACTCGGGAGGCTGAGGCAGGAGAATTGCTGTGAGTTCAAGACCAGCCTGGGCTCCAAAGTAAGTTCAAAGCCAGCCTGAACTGCATAATGAGACCCTGTCTCAAAAAGACAAAAAAAAAGTCAGATAATTTAATTAATTCTAATTTTATATGTTTCTCCATATTTCAGACAATTGATGCTTTATTTTATTAGCCATGATACAGTGAGGTTTTTTTTTTAAGAAACTATAGAAAACATAGTTTTATTTTTGTTTCTTTAAAGCCAGCAGCAAAAGTGGACCAAGAAACCCTGACTGAAATGGTGAAGCCTAGTATCGATTATGTACGCCACAAAAAATTCCGATCTGGGAATTATCCATCTTCATTAAGCAATGAAACAGATCGCTTGGTGCACTGGTGCCACGGTGCCCCTGGAGTCATCCACATGCTCATGCAGGCCTATAAGGTCAGTACTCAGCCATGGTCACCCACATGCTCACACAGGCCTGTTGGCCAGTGCCTTTGTTGGTGGTACAAGCACCGGGGTGCAGGGGTCCACCACACTTTCAGCTTGATTCAGGAAGCCTATTTGGTTGCACACTAAAAATCTTTTTGAATGAGTGTTTTTACAAAATAAATAGAAAGTCTTTATTTCTGTACTCATCACTGTGATTCCCGCTGCAAGTATGTTTTCGTATATAAAGGAAAATATACCTGCTGGGGGTAGTAATGCTTTTCATTCTCGCAGTAGGAGTATTCATTCAGTGAGGCAGCAGACAGTATTATAAGCACATGTGGCTTTTGTTGTCTTCATACCATTTTACCCTCTTGCATGAATAAGTCATTATTGTTGGACAGACTTACAGTCATTCAAGAGCTTTTAAATTTGACTTTAAAATTATTCCCAAGAGATAGGAATGGTGCTCACATTTTTGTACATCTGGAACATTATGAGAAAGTAAGCAGTACTTTCCATTGTTAATTCTAGTAAGTTCAAGACATATTGGGCATGATATTAAGAGTGTTACTCATTCCTACCCAAAGATTTGTCATGTAAGTTGAAAACCAACAGTGCTTTGGTCATTTTATTTTCCATTTAATGCATCTTTCTTTGTAATACATAGTTGATGTTGGTATATAAACATATCGATGAAATTATAACCAGCATAATTCTTCCATTTAGCACCATATTTTGGCAAATCTCTACATCAGAGAAATAGGTGAAATTAATAGAGCAGAATTCATATTTCTACATGAAAAAATATCAAAAGTACTGGTACCTGCATTAATTTTATTTTTTCTTTGTGATGAACTATGATAAATTATTTCAAAATATTACAGGAAATTAACTTGTAAGATATACACTAATTTTTCAGAATTTTTTAGATCTTCAACAATAACACCAAAAATATTGAAGTGGTATGACAGGAAAGTTAAGAAATGACTCGTGATATCTGTTGAGAGCATAGCACAATGAAATACAGCATTTCAAAGTGAGAAGAATGATTCATCTTCTTCATATAACCCTGCCTTTATATTAAACCATAATTCTGTGCAAATGATTGCCTCTCCTGTTTTTAGTATTTTAGAGCAGTAACATGGAGATGTCTGTAATATTATAAATGTCCAACCTTAGGGTGTGTGCATAATATTGACAGTATAAGCAGGGACCTTTTCATATTTAAACAGATGCAAAAATGCTAGACTAGAAAGCTTTTGTTTGTGGAACTCTTTTCCCCTTAAAGATAGCAGCCTTTGCAGCTGGGTGCTCTGCTCTGACAGGGCCTGTGGGGACCTCCATCCTGGGAGCTCCTCTCCCACTGGCCCTGCCAACAGTGGCTGCTACCTGACCCCACCCTCCCCACCCAGGGTCACCTGGTAGCGGGCATCACTGTGTTATGAGAGGACCGGCTCCCCCTGCAGGGCTCTGCCTAGATCCCATATGAACACCTCTCCTCCCTCACGGATTCCAGAACAGAAATCTCTCCTGTTGGAAAAGCAGGAGCCAGAGCTGTTAAGATCCCATACTTAGTGATTGAAACTTGATTTTGTCCTTTACGTCGAGACTGTTGAACACGAGGAAGGAGAAGATTGTCAGAATCTTCTGGGGTCAGAAAGATATCAGCAGGAATTTGTAAAAGTGTAAATAATCTAGTTGTCCAGTTAGGGGTAAAACATGTCTTCACAGTATGAACTTCAGGAAATACGTGTAGACTGCACCTTCCTGTTGCGGGGTGCACGCACCGTGAGCCGAACCGTCTGTGCTCTGCCTGTGAGTGAGTGGAGGGGCTGTGGCCCAGGCAGGGGCAGGGGCCCAGAAAGATGAGCACAGCTCTAGACTGTTCTCTCTCAAGTTACAGTTATTTAACTTAGGGAATGTCCATTTCATAAGAGCTGTGTCTTAAAATTGACTAGGAAACATTTGGAATGCTTACGTAACAAGCTTTAACAATTTGTCGTCTTACATACAAAATCAGAAGTTCTTCAGGTATGATTATAGAGACATAAAGTTTTGAAGTATTTGGAAAATATTAATATACATTATAAATAAACTGTAATTTGAGTCCAGATTTGCAAAATTTCCCTCCTGTAGGTGCTACACATGTTTAGGTATGACCTTTTTGGTGATTTGTTGCATTCTGCTTGCCAGTGTCTTGTTGAGGATTTTTACATCTACATTCATTAAAGAGGTTGGCCTGTAGTTCTCTTGGTTGATTATATCCTTGTCTGGTTTTAGAATCAGGGTAGCTTCCAGGAAAGACTTTGGGAGTCCTCCTTTCCTTTCAATTTCCTTAAAGAGGTTGAGGATTATTGGAGGTTTTTGTAGCATTCTGCAGTGAATCCATCTGGACCTGGGCTTTTCTTAGTTGGTAGGTTTTTTATTATTGCTTCAATTTCATGCCTGTTACTGGATTATTCATGTTTTTTAAATTTTCTTATTTCAGTTTTGGTAATTCATATATGTCTAGGAATCTTTCCATTTCTTCTGAATTCTCCAATTTATTGACATACAGGTTTGCAAAGCAGTTATTAATGATCTTTTGGATTTTGCAACAAATTGATTTTCATTAATCTTAAATTTGTCCTTACTTCACCTTCATTTTTAAAAGAAATTTCTGCTGGTTGTGGAATTCTAGTTGGACGGTTCTTTTTTCTTTTCAGTACTTTAGAGCTACTGTTCCATTGTCCTTCATTGTTTCTGATGAGTAGTTAGTCATTCATCATGCTGATGTCTTTCCTGTGGTGTGTGTGTGTGTGTGTGTGTGTGTGTGTGTGTGTGTGTGTTTTTCCTCTGAAAGCTTTTAAGATTTTCCTCTTGTTTATTTTAAATAGTTTAATTGCCATGTACCTATATGTATTTGTCTATATTTATCCTGTTTGAGATTCCTTGATCTTCTTGAAGTCATAAATATGTATCTTTCAGTACATTTTATGTTTGGCCATTATTTTTCCATAGGTGATAGTGGGGTTATTTTCAAGTTTCTTTTTCTTCTTTGTAATTCAGGTGTGATAATTTCCATTTATGTAGTTTCATATTCACCAGTGATTTCCTTTGTTACATCCAAGCTGCTATAAGCCTATCCAGTGATTTTATCTTACCTATAGGTGGTTTTTCCACATCTGTAATATCCATCTATTTCTTTTTTTAATAGTCCCTTTCTCTGAGTGTTCCTAGCTGTCTGTCTTAGTTACTTTTATTGTTGCTGAGACAAAACAGCCAACACCCACAAGTTAAAAGAGGAAAGGTTTATTTTGGGTTACAATTTGTGGAGGTTTCAGTCCATAGTTGGCTGGCTCCAAGGCACGGGGCATGGCTGAGGAGCATCTCAGAGGAGAAACAGTCCATAGCATGCCAAGCAGAAGGCAGCCAGCAGGCAGCCTGCCTTCCTTCTTTTCTTCTTACAGTCCATCTAGGCTACAGGCATGTTGATTAGTGTCACCTACACCCAGGGTGGAGCGTCCATTAGCCCATTATCCACACTCAGAACTATGCTAATTCCACTCAGTGGACTAATTTGGTACCACACCCTTAACCCCAGTATCACACACACTAGATCTAGCCAGCTCCAAAACGCCTCCAAAGGCATGAGGCTTTGGGAGGAGCATCCAGACAGAAGCCATAACACTGTCCACTGGTAGTGAGTATAGTTTCCCTTTCACCCTTAAAGACATTTGTTATTGCTACCTAAAATCTGTGTCATTCCTTCCACATGCGGTCGTGTTGGCAGCAGTCCATTTCGTAGTGTTAGCAAACAGGTTCAGAGAAGTTGTAAGCCAGGGTCTCACTGTCGGAAGTCGTGTGAGTTGACCAAGGTTGTAGAAGAGGGACTCTGACCCAGTCTTCCAACTCCAGATCCCTTATAACTTCCTTTGCATCTGTCTCCCCACACTTCCTGTCCTGAGACTGCTCAGGGAAAGTCGCTGTCTGGGAGAAGGAATGCACTTTCTGCACAAATTGTGATTGCTGCAGTATGAAGACGACGAATCTGTGCCTAACTCTGGAAACATTTTCTGTGATTCCCAACTCTCAGATATGTTCTTAGTAAACGTAGCTTTTCTTGTAGAATGTGCATGTGGTAGTGTAAGAAGGGGTGCTGCTAATGCCCGGAAACTAAGGTATAGGTGACGTGATGGGGCAAATCTCCAACCACCGCTTTTACCAAGGGAACAGCGGTGGTATGAAGGAAATCACATGGGCTCCCTTTCAATCATACCTCCCCCTCTGAGCACCAGAAAGGAGCAAATCGGGTTTGCTTTGGAGCTGGCCTGCTCCTCATGGATTTCAAGACATAGCCTAAGACAGTGGGTTTTCGCCTACTGCTTTGCCTGATTATTTCTGTAGGATGCACAAGAGTACTTTCCTTTACAACTAATTCTAAGAGGCTTAATGGGCCAGTGACAGGAGGAGGTATTCATACCAGCAGGGTGACCCAGGAAGAATAATGCTGGTAGAGCTCAGCCGTGGTCAGCACCTGAGGTGTGCCAGGCCCTGTGCTAAGCTCCTGGCACGTTATCTCACAGTAGGCCTCACAGCAAGCCACGTCGTCCTTTCATAGCTAAGAAAACTAAGACAGAACCTGAGGGACTTGTCCAAGGTCACACAGCTAAAAGCTGAGACCAGGCTTAGGCAGTCTGACCCCAGAGCCCACCTTTTGGCTGCCTTTATATGAAGAGAAGGGGTTTTGCTTCTGATTCTGGAAGCCTGGTGATTAACTGTGCTTCTGTTTCTCCTGCACCTGCAGCCTCAGAACCCTCAGCCTGATGCCAAGGAGGCACTGCACACCAGCACAGGGGAGCAGGCCCATGTAGGTCACGCATGGTGGCCTTGGTGCTCCTCCTCATGGTCCAGTTCACGTGCACTAGAATAGCCTGACTAATGCAGGAGATCACGAATAACAGATCTCAGGGAAGGACCAGGGAGCAGTTATGAAGTGTAAGGGGAAAGAGTGGAAAATGCAGACAAGAGGCTGGAGCCAGGGGTGATGCACACCTGTAATCTCAGCACACTGGGAGGCTGAGGCAAGAGGGTTCCAGCCCGGACTGGGCAACATGGTGATTTAGCAAGACCCTGTCTCAGAGTAAAAGAGCTAAAAGAGCTGGGGATGCAGCTCAGTGCAGAGGCCTTGGGTTCAGCCCGGTGCGGCCAAGGGGCAGGCTGAGCAGGTGAGAGCGGCTTCCTCTTGCTCACCCTCCGCTGTCGCTGTCAGCAAGCCTCTCTGCAGCTGTCCGCGGGAAGCACTCTTGGAGGCTGCTGCTCTGAGACCTCAGCCAGTCTGTGTGTATCCGCGCAGCCACCCTCTCCCACAGGTGGGCTCTGCAGGCTCTCCAGACACAGGCTCACCCGGGGGAGCATGTGCTCAGCAGGGGACAGGGTGCTGTGGTGTCCCTGATGCCTTGGTGGCCCTTGCTGAGAGTGGACACTTCGGAGCTGTAGATGTGTCCCAAGAGCTGTGCAGCGGTTTGTGGTGAAGCATCTTACCAAGGAGATGCACTAACTTCACTTTTTCATGTCATTTAGGTTTTGTGTTAGTCCATGTTTACAGTGCGCAGTGACCACGTTCCTCCTGGGGAGCTGGTACATGCGCACATCTTAATTCTTTTTTATCCCCCTCCCCTCCCCTCTCTCCCCATTATTCCCCTTCCCATTTATAAAATGTGCTACTTAATATTAATTTTTTTTTTTGGTTTTTTGAGACAAGGTCTCACTATGCAGTCCACACTGACCTTGAAATCATGGTAATCCTCCTGCCTCAGCCTCCTGAGTGCTGGGATTACAATTGCGCACCACCATGCCCAGCTCAATATCAATTACTAAGTTTTAGAATTACTTCTGCAAAACTATGAATTGGAGGGCAAGAGAAACAGTTTGACAGATTGAGCTTGTAAGAGGCTATGATTCATGTTGCTAGTAATTTTTAATTTTTAACTTTTTTTTGTCCCCAGTAGCGTTTTTGTTTTCTTAATGTGTAATTTTCTACCAAGAAGGGGGAAATTTTTGTTTGCTTAGTTTTTGGTGGTACTGGGAATTGAATCAGGGACTTCACATTGAAATTTCTTTAGCCTCTTATTTTGAGACAAGATTTCTCCAAGCTACTGAGTTAAGCAGGCTGGACTCACACTTGAGTGTCCCGACCTCAGCCTCCCGGTGCTGGGACAGCGGATGTGTACATAGAGCCTCGTGTGGGAGAAGTGCTCTGCTAACTGTTCGTCTCCTGCTCACCTGCTCTGGCTGTCCCTGTCCAGGTGTTTAAGGAGGAGAAGTACCTGAAGGAAGCCGTGGAGTGCAGCGACGTGATTTGGCAGCGAGGCCTTCTCCGGAAGGGCTACGGCATCTGCCATGGCGCTGCTGGGAATGGCTACTCCTTCCTGTCCCTTTACCACCTCACGCAGGACAGGAAGCACCTCTACCGCGCCTGCAAGGTGAGGGCGCTGCATGCGAAGGCTCCCACGTGACCTCTCTCACGGCCTCCGCCTGCCTCTCCCCAGAGGTGGCCTCTGCTCCACAGCCTTGTCCTGGGCTCCTCGTGTCATGGTGTCCTTATATGCAGTACAGGGCGGCACATGCAGACGGCTCCTGGGCACGTGTGTTTTGCGGCCACACTGCCTGGGTAGGGTCACGTTGTGTGTCAGCTCAGTTTCCTCATGTGTAAAATGGGAAAAATATTCCCCACTGCCTAGGTGTTCAGAGAATCAATCAAGTCCTCATGCAGGTGATGCCAGTTATTGCTGCTCAGAGCACACTGCAGGCCAAACCCACATTCCTCTCTGGTGCACAGAGCTTCGTGCCTGGGCTTTCCCCACGTCCCACGCATGTCTCCTGGCCCCACACCCTGCCGGCTGGACCTCCACGCTGTCCTCGCCTGCCCTGCTGCGATGGAGGATGGAGGCGGAGGGTGCCACGCTTGTGCCCTTCACTCTTAGCACTGTTTCCTTCATTGGGGACCCTCTTCCCCACAGGCCTGCACAGCAACCCCTTTCCTTCCCGTGTCAGTGTAGGGATGTCTGTAGGCCTTGAGACTCCCAGCTAGAGGAGCACTCACAGCCATCGGTTGTGTATTTTTCTTGGTTCTTCAGCACGTCACCACCAGTACAATGTAAGTTCCATGAACAGTGAGTGACACGCAGTAGAAATTCACGAATCTTCTCCGAGTATGTGAATATGAGTGGCACAAAGCAAGATGCGTCAGGCATTTGCTGGCATTATATTGCTGTACACAGCTCTCGTGATGTAGCACACAAGAGGAAAGGTGGGAGAAAGTCACCAGTGTTCATAGTGACCTTGTTGGGAAGGTATTGTGGCCACTGTGTTCTGTACGCTTCCCTCTGGACAGTGAACACCTCTTAGCACGCGGGGCCTGCCTCTGTCCCTCTGTGAGTTCTCTGAGAATGCACGTCTGTGGGACCCACACATGGGAGCCTGCAGGATGCTGTGGGAGCCATAAAGAGGGCAGAGCCCAAGCCAGTCCTGGGATGGCAGAAAGTGATGTCCAGGCCAAGACCTGAAGGATGGGTGGAGGTTAGTCTAAAGGGACTGAGGAAATGAAAGGAAAAGGAAAGGAAAGTACAGGTCCACAGGCTGGACATGTGGGGCACCAGGAGGACTGGAGGAAGTTTGTGGTGGCTAGGCTGCGGGGTGAGGAAAGGAACTGGAGGCAGAGGTGGGAAGCAGTAAGACTCTGCAGGCTTCAGCAGCCTTGATACCAGTTACGATGATGGGTGATAAGGTGAAGAAGGAGAACTGTGTCGATTCGTGGGGGCTTAAGACATCGCTGTTTCTTCAGAGATGGAGTCTCGCAGGCAGGTCAGGAAAGGTGGTCCTGGGTGGTGGGGAGGAGAGCTCACACCAAGCTGGAGCGTGAAGCAGCGTAGTGTGTCCTGGGAAAGCTACGTCCAGTGCTCTGGCATGCCACGGAGCAAGTGGTTCTGATGGAGATGAAGCCAGGTGGGTGGGCGTTGGCGGGAGGGACTTGGTCCTCTGCTGGTGAGCAGCAGGTTGAGGGGCCGAGTCCTCTGTTGGGGAGCCATCCCCAACCTTGGTTTTGCCCCACCATAGATCAAGTGAAGAAGAAACCCAGGCACCAGTATCTTTCAAGCCCTTAGGTGACTTTAATAGTTAGCCATCGTTGAGTGTTAATTAGAGAGTAGGGGTCCACACTGAGCCCCTTCTTTTAGAAAGGTGACCGGGGGTAATGATGGAAGGAGGAGGCAGGGCTTGGGGTTCCCCCGTTGTTGTTTGATCATGAATACGAGAAACCTTGTGATATCTACCTGGGCTTTGCTTGTGATGAGAAGAGATCTAGGCAGTGTCGGATGTGGAACCCACAGAACTTAGTGCAGTTGTTTTGTTTTAATGTAGAAAAATGTTGCAGTTGTTTTGTTTTAACGTAGAAAAAAGAAATACCTCAGTGTTTTTCTGAGAAAACCAGGTAGATGGTGTATCAGACAAGCTAAAAAAGTAAGCAGATTTGGAAGGTGTAAAGCAAACTAAATTTATTGTACACGTGCTGAATTTTATATTCATTGTGTTTCACGTTTATGATTCTCAATGTACAAATTGCCAAATTATGTCAGCTTAAAGCAAAAAAAAAGTCTATTGTATGATACAGAAAACCCCACAGAAGGGGCAGGAGACGGGCCAGCTTGCTTGCTGCGGGGCAAGTGCCTGGGCGGGAGCGGCGTCTTCCAGGCGCTGACAGCGCCTCGCTGTGGGGCCACGGGGCCAGCGTGGGGCTGAGGCAGAGAAGCCAGGGCGGGGGTGTTCTCCAGTGTGTGCTGAGTGCTCCCAGGCCGGGCCGAGACTGCAAGCCCCCACTGGAGCCAGAGCAGATGCTGGCACGGGCAGCCAAGGCCGAAGGCTGCTTTCGCCCTGTTTTCTTCCAGATGGAAGGGGCAGGGGCAGGTCCTGGAGGCTGGGCTATGGCTGGGTGAGGGTTTCTACCTCAGACTCCCCTGTAGCTGTGGAGGAGCAGCTGTACCTCATGGGGCTCCGCCACAGGGCAGAACACTGTGGAGCCCAGCGCAGCCGTGCCCCACACTCGGCCACCTGCAGGCCTCTGGCTCTGCCCCGCAGTGCTGTCCAGCTGGAGTGCTGTTCTCACAAGGATCTCTTTCCTGTCAGTTTGCAGAGTGGTGTCTGGACTACGGAGCACATGGGTGCCGCATCCCCGACCGGCCCTACTCCCTCTTTGAAGGTAGGCAGTCAGCAGTCTCTGAGTGGACAAGCCCTCCCATCCCTGGTGCCTTTGGTCATGCCTGAGTAATAACTTCAAAATCACAGTGGCCACAGAGAGTTGAGATTACTGCTGAAAACAATGCGGAGTGTCTTTACCGTGCCCATTCTCTGTCCCATCAGTTCCTCCAGTGTCCTTAGTGCCTCTGTGAAGGGTTTGCAGACAGTGGGAAAGGCCTGCTGGTCAGTGAAGGGAGACAAGCTCACCCCTCTCCATTTCCCTTGTAACAGGACCTAACATCAACGGGCTCACAGCAACCTGGGTAGTTCTTTAAAATACATCATTAAGTTATGTATGGAAGTGTCTTAGTTAATTTGCACATTGCTGAGTAAACTACCCAACACCCATAAGGTAAGGGAGGATGGGTTGATTTAGCTCAGAGTTTATTTAGCTCACAGAGTTTCAGTCCAGCTGGCTCCAGGGCAAGGTGGCTTTGCAGAGAACAGTTCATGGCAGGCAGAAGATAGCAAAACCAGTAAGGGAGGGAGGGACAAGCCTCTTCCTGTCCCTTATATTGTGGGCAGGCTATCTGTCCTAGGGTGGGTATAGCACTCACATCCTTAATCCTAGCCAGAACTATGTCAAACCCATCAGGGAACTGGTTGAGTAATCACACACCCTTAATCCCAGCATCACACACTCCAGACCCAGCTACTCTGAAAAGCCCACCCCCATTACTGCATGAGTCTTAGAGAAAGAAATCTCCAGTCCCAAAAGATTTTACTACATAATTGTACCAAACATTTAAATTATATTAGCCAGGTGTGGTAGCGCACGCCTGTAATCCCAGCACTCGGGAGTCTGAAACAAGAGGAACATTGCAAGTTCGAGACCAGCCTGGACTACAAGGTGAGCTCAGAGCCTGCCTGAACTGCATAGCAAGACCCTGTCTCAGAAAGACAAAAAATAAATAAATAAAATAAAAATAAATTACATTCACACCAGTTCTTTCACCAAGTAATAACACAGTCTCTTTCAAAAAAACAGAAAATGAGAGGAAGCCGCTAGGTCAGTGTTACCCTGATACCAATGCCAGATAAATGTATAAAACAGGAAAACTGGAGACAACAACCTCATTAGTACAGATGAAAAAGTCTTTAACAAAATGCTAACAAATGTGGGATTATGCAGTATGTAAAAAGAACTACACGGTGACTAAGCAGGGTTTATTCCAGACATAGAAAACTGGCTTAATATTTGAGACAGAATCAGTGTAATTGACCATATCAATAGGCTAAAGGAGGTAAAGCACATAACCTTATCAACTGACACAGAAAGGGCGCCGCCAAAGCTCAATACCCATCTGTTTGATTAAGAATTCATTTATTACTTATGAAGTTTATGTAGAGTATGTGAGATGTGGTTCTAAAGAGATTAAAAAATCCCAACCCCGGTTAGCCTCTGCCTTTGATCCCTGTGGTTTATAAGCGAGTCAGTATATACAGAAGCACACACACAAATATACAAAATATTTCAGTCTTTCTGTGGGACTCTATTATTTTCCTGAATTATAGGCTGTCTGTCACGCTTGCAGCAGACCATCAGTTACTGTTTTTATAGATGATGTTATTGTTCTTCCTTTTCAGAACTTTCTTCAACATTAGCTCTTGTTTTAGTTTTATAATTACTCATATTCCTAGGTACTAATACTTCTAATTGATAATATTATTAAGTTCCTGTTATGGCTTGTGTCTAGACTTGAAAATGCAGTGTACTGAGGTGACGGAAGTCCCTGTTTCAGACCCTGCCTGAGAGCCATCCCTAAAGTTCCCACTCTTGCTTTGCAGGCATGGCTGGCACTATTCACTTTCTCTCTGATGTCCTCACGCCAGAGACATCGCGGTTTCCAGCATTTGAACTTGGCTCTGCCCAAAGGGATTAAAAAGGTGCAATAAGACAACTAAAACACCTGTCGGACCAAAAGGCTCCAGATTGCTCAGTGCCTGACACAACCAACTGTGAATCCTGAAAGAAAAAAGCTGAAACCCTCACAGGCCCCTTTTGTTGCAGAGACCTTCAAGTTAGAGCATGAGTGACAAGCCATCCCATCAGCGTTTGTGACAGTGTTGCCCTCAGGGTGTGAAATACGAGTTCTGCACATCCGGTTCCTGCAGTGTTTGCATGTTCCCTGGTGTTGTCTGTAGGCATGAGTTGTTCTCCTCACACACACACAGGACGCAGCTTGCACGGGTTCCATGGCAGCTGCATTTCTGTATCTAATGCATAAGGGTGTCGTCTCTGTGTACAGGCAGGAACTGTCAGGAGGCGTCCTTCGTCTGTTAGAACGGTCACTAAGAGTGGCACTCTAGTGAGAAGGTCTTGGTTTTTCCATAGATACCTTTCTGAAGAACACAAAGAAAAGACCACTCCAAACACTGAGAAGCAACAGATAAGAGGGACACTGGGGGATCATGGTTAGGGCCACCCCTCGCTATGTGCTAGGCTGGCCTTGGGCTGTCCAGAAGTGGGAGGGGCCACTGCGACTGTTTTCATGACCCTTACATGAAGCTCATGAGGCTCCTGAGGTCCAAGGCAGCCCTGGGTGGTGGACTTCACAACACCATGAGTAATCTTTAAATTAGCATTGTAAATAACAGTGACTGGACAGATGAAACATTGGTCAGTCTAGAACATTCACCCAGGTATATATTATTACAACAGCTCCCATCCCAATTTTACCAATTGGTGACTTAATTATTATAGGAACAGAGGATAAATTGGAAATTGGTGATGGATCACTATAAGTTTGAAATAAGCTTCGTTGCAAGCACATAGATCTAGTTGAGAATTGTCCGAAGTATAAATTTGGGATAAATACATTGCTTATTTTTGTCTACTTTAGGAGAGTAAAATCAAAAGTACTAGGATGCATTTGTACACATGAGGAACACATTAATGTTCTAACAAGAAAATTACAGTATTATCTGGGTGACAGTTTCTTAAAGGGATATTAATTTGCATTAGCACTCCCCTTAGTAATTCTGCCATATAGAATCTGTTTCAGAAGAGTTTTTGTCATCAGGCGAGGACTTTCTAAAGACTTCACCTGTGCAAGGTAAGGTACGGATCGCAGAAGACGGGACTTGGAATGGCCTGATCCTTGTCTGTGGGGGCACTTAAGGGTTCATCAGTCCTAGTTTCCAGTCCTTTCATGAAGGGAAGGGAAGAGAATCCATTTCAAAGACCAGATGCCTTTATGCATGTGCAGTTTTCTGGGCATTGCTGGATCTTCTGTGTGGGTCTGGCACCTGAACGTGTGACCTTTAGTTTCTGAGGGTTGCCTTGGAGTCTCCTCTCCTCAGACAGCCCTGTTTCTAAGTCACAATTCGTTTCCTCCACGTCAGCGTGGTGCTGTAACCCTCATGATTAAGCTTTAAGTGACTTCCTGCCTGCTGATAGCTTTCCAGGGGAGTCCAGCACCCCATTCTGGCTGACGGGAATGTTTCAGAGGACCTCATGTGCTACCCAGCCTCATCCAGCAGCATGGTTCCCACTCCCCTTCCCATGCCATCAAAGAATGATAGAGTTTGCTGAGGAGGCCTGCCTGCCTCCTGTCTGGGGGAGGGGTGTGGGGCTCAGCAAATCTCTGGGCTCTCAGTCAGCCCTTCTCTGCAAGGAGGAGGCCCCTGGGGACGCCCTGATTCTGGCCAAGGTGACTCTTAAGTTACCTGGGCATCTGCCCAGGAGCACGCACTCCTGTGCATGTGTGAAAATGACCTGCTCATTTTTCTGGCCAGCATGCTAAGAGAAAGATGAAATACCTGTGGAGTAAATGGAGGAGATTTTACTTTCAGAGCTTTTAAAGCCTGCTGGGTTGGCACCTTGCCCCTTACCCACTGGGCACTGGCAGATGTGCAGCTCTGTGCTTCTCCATGCAGCTGCTTCCTCTTGTCCGTTGTGTGGGCCGCTGTGTGAAGAGCCAGCTCCCAGTTCCTCCAGGCAGAGGGTGGGGGATTCACAGACATCCATTTAACCATTCTGAGTATTCAAGATCAGATTTCAAAGCATCTCATGTCCATTTATTGGACTTGTTTGTTCCACAACTCTGTTCTCCACAGTGTTTAAAATTTAAAATGTGTACACGCACAGTACCGTTTTAAAATCTGAAGGAAAGAAGTTGATGTCCACAAAAGTGTTTGGGATTCTTTGGTTTTGTTAGTAAAAAACAGTTTTGTGGTGATGGCTGTGGACTTCTCATTTGCTCTTCTCTGTGTTGGGCAGTGACCTGGGTAGGAGCACTGGTCCCTGTTCTGAAGATGTGGTCTTCATGTGAAAACGGGGCCAGCGTTCATACTACGATGTCCCAGCCAAAGGTCTCTGGCCATGCGCTCTCTTTGATTCCAGTGAGACCTTCTGTAACCTGGATAGTAAAGTAGCAGCCACAGGTGTTGAGCTTGAATTATGTGACAGGCCCTTTACCTTCTCAGCGGCACGGGGAGACAGGTGATGTTATTGCCACCTTCTTGCAAATGAGGAAGTGGTAGGCCTGCCCATGTCTGCACCTGGGCCAGTCAGGTGGAGACCCAGGCAGTTCTTGCTGGTATTCATAACAGTTCTAAATTCCATGAGCACTCTTCCCCCACATGCCTGATGCAGAGGTAAGCCACCGAGACCACATGAAGCCCTGGGACTTGGTCAGGACACACAGCAGGAAAGTGGACAGGCAGCACCCTCCCAGGGCCTTTCCTCAGTCCTGGTCATCTCAGCTCCCTGCAGCCTGCTCTACAGGAAGGGGCCCCACAACTGTTAGTTGTCACTGGGACCACCTCTAAGTAAGGCAGTTTCACCTCCATTGCTTCCTTTGCTAAATTTAAAAAGTAGGCAATCTTAAGTTTAAAGCCCAAGTTGCCTAGAACATTTTTATAAATTGTCACTGCTTCCTCCTTGGTTCCTTGCCGTAGCAGCTCCGAAGGACTCTGCTTTCTTGAGCTTCTGAGGCTAATGAGAAGCTGGACGTGAGGTGGGGATCTGCCATGAGTGCTCTTCAGGAGGCTAGGAGCTCACTAAATGCTGTGCAGAATTTTATGTACATATTTCTATCTGGAGACAGGCTTCCCTATCACAGCTTCAAATTAGTTTGTCACTCAAAAAGTATACAAGTATCAGGCCATGGGGTAAAGAATATACGTTGCAAGCTGGGCTTCAAAGCAGGCAGCAAGGGGCTGTAGGAGATGAGCACAGCTGGGTATGGGGACTCAGGAGGTACCTGTGACGGAGGAAGACCCCAGACACCAGTGGAAGGTGCTAGCTGCACGTCCCCAACTCCTCATACCAGAGTGTGCTGAGGAGAGCAGGGGTGAATTCCAAGTAGACGCATTCTCTAGTACCCGTGGGCTTCTCTCCTTCGGGGGCGTGGGGAGTGGCGGTCCCTGTGTGTTCTGTTCACGGCCTGTCCTGATGAGGACAAGGCTGTGGGCTCCTTCATGTCCAGGGGGGCCCACTGAAACCCTGGTGGGCGCAGATGGCCGGGCTGAGATGACGCAGGTTGCATCACGTGTCTCTGCCCCCGCTCTATCTGCAGAGGGTAGGGGGAGGCTGGATCCCTTCATCCAGCAAGTGTGCTGAGCACCTGCTGTGCGAGGTGCCCAGTAGGTGCCCAGTGAGAAGGAGACCCATCCTGCATCTGCCCTTGCGCAGACAGCCGGGTCAGGCTCCACGAGTGCTCGTCATAAGCAGCCTCCCATGATGCCCTCAGGGGTTGCCATGAGGTGTGAGTGGGGACGGTCAGCTTCCCGTGAGCAGGGCTGCACGTGCATCCCTGGGCCTGGGAAGAAGAGGACTGAGGGCCAGTGGTGCCAGCCCAGCTGCCCCATATGGCACCCTCTGGGCCTGAGTGACGGTGGTCCCTGTCCCCAGGAGCAGGTGACCTCCAGAGGAGGTAAATACGTGTCCCATTGGACACCCAGGCTGTGTGGTGGAGGCTCTGGAGTCGTGCTGTGCCTCTCTGCTCTGCCATTTCCTATGAGAAGTGGTTTCTGGAGCCTGGGTTCCTTTCTGAAAATGAGGACAGGGATGGGATCTACCACACTTGGGTGCAGGGTAAGTGCTTGTCCTGGCAAGGCTGGAGATGTGGGTGCATTGCTTTTGGGTGGCAGACAGGCTTCTTGCCAAGGGACTGGTGAAAACCTGGTCTTCCCAGCTTCTGAAACTCATGCCTCACCACAGCCTGGAACCCCCAGGTGTGTACGTGTGTATGTGTGTGCGCACGCATGTGTGCGTGCATGTGTACTCTCATCCGAAGCCATGATTTCAGGCTTGCTCAAAATCTAGAACTTGAGAGAGGCTGAGGTCTCAGCCCTCCAGCTTTTGCTTTGTTTCGTTCTTGGGGATGTTCCTGGTCCTGTGCCACCTCCCACCCCCGCCTGCACAGGACGGACCCGTGCCTCTCAGATGGCACGGTGCAGGATCCCGACCCACCCTGCAAAGCACTGCCCCAGGAGAGAGCACCAGGGCCAAGCCGCACAGTCACAGTCCTGCGAGTTCCCAGGCTGAGCGTTTCCTGCAGGGGTTGTAGAGGAGTCCTCACTGCAGGCTCATCTTTAGAACTAGGTGTAGTCCCCAACCTGCACACATTTCCTGACAAAGAATGTGCAACGTGCTCCCACCCTGCACCCCACCGAGCCCCTCCAGAAGCTGCCTGGAAAGGACAAGGGCCCTCCTGCTCCCCTGGGGTGGGGAGTCTGTGTGCCTCAGAGATGTCTTAACTCTGCCCCAACACCTCATCGTAGCTTGACTGTTAGAATTCTCTACTGGAAACCCCTTTTCTACCAGCAGTTTGAGGGTTCACAGGCTTTGTACTGCTCTGCACATGGTGCTGTGTTTGTAGATGCACCTTGTAAGGTGTGATGGTCCACCGTGCGTGGATTGAGACATGCCTAGGAAAGTACTGCGCCACGCCTCGGAGGGGTCTCAGAGTTTTCAGAGGGTTGGCATGTGAGCCGGCGGGGCGGGGGGCCTCACCCTGAATGTGGGTGGCACCCTAAGGTGGCCTGGATGGAAGGAGCGTGGAAGGAGGCTTGTCAGCAGTGTCTCTGGCCCTCACTCTCAGCACCCCCGTGCCGCTTCCTGGCTGCGTGACCTGGGCCCACACCAATGGACCTGTCAACCGTGGACTGGAACCATGAGCCTAAACATACCTTGCTCCTTCGCTCGGGTACTTTCCATTATGCTGTCAGAGCAGCTAACACACAACTTGTGGGATCGTTTTTCCACCTGTCGTAATAATGGGCCAACTCAGAGGCCGGGCAGAAAACCCAGCCACAGCTCTCCGCGTGGTGAGCTGAGATGACTGTTAGAGTGGACGGTTGCGGAGCCTGGCGCTTTAGCACTGTCTGTACATCCACCTTTCTGAACTCCCTGACACCACACGAGGTGGCCAAGGCTGTGAGCAGAGGGAGCAGGGAGAGTGGGAGCCAGAGCCCTGGGCCACACTGCATGGACGTGAGGGGAGGAGACGCTCGCACATGCATGTGGGAGAGGAGGGACGCATTGCCTCGGGTGGGGCCTGAGCATGCGGTGGAGCCTTGTGGAGCCGTCGGTCAGTGGTCAGCAGGGCAGACAGCACGTGGAAGGAGTTGCACGGCACGGAGAAAAGAAGCAGCCTGGGGTTGCTGGTGAGAGATGGAGAAAGCACCTGAAGTTTAAAAAAATCACAGCATGTCTGTAAACGGATGGGGTGCCATGTGGGCAGAAATACAAGTAACAGTGTAGGGCTGTGGGCTGCTGAAGCAATCTCCTCAAGCAGGTGAGGGTGGAGGCCCGGCCCAGGTACGTGGCCTGCACATTGATCTGATATGGTTCACAGATGCCTGCGGGTGGCGGGTGGCGGCAGGAGAGGTGGAATCTCTTCCCATCACTTCAGTTTTCTCAGGAGCGTCTGCTGCGTGAGGATGGAGGAGGAGGTGAGGAGGAGGAGGAGGGGTGTGCAGCACTGCCCAAGGTTCTAGGAGAACCAGCAGGGCTCCTGCATCACCTGTTCAGAGGCTCCTGAGGACCTGGGGCAGTGCCATCCCAGGAAAGTGTCCAGGGCCGGAGGTTGGGGTCAGGCTCAGATTGTATTTGCAGTGTGTTCCAGAGTGAGGGTGTTGCTGCAGGTCCCAGGATCTGCTCAGGAGCACCTCACATCTCCTGGGGTCTGGCTGGGCCTTTTAGCTGGGAGCCACTAGGACCAGGTTGCAGGAGCCCTCTGCCCTGCCTGCAAGGTAGCAGGAGGGTGCAGGGAGGCCACCCCCACTTTGGGATGGCCTGTGGAAGGAGGCTGGGAGGAACCCTGGCTTGGTTCAGGGCAGGTAAGTGCTCCACCCCAAGCCACACTCAGCCCCAGGGTGGCAACCATACCTTTCCTTTGGTTCAGAGGTGCTGTTTACTTTTCAGGAAAACAGCGCAACAGTTCTGCACTGTCAGGGGGCACCTGAGGGGCAACTCCCTCCACACCGCACTGCCTCAGCTGGGCACTGGGAGCCAGCACCACCAGGCTCTTGGTCTTGGAGAGGGCGCAGGGCTCCTTCCTGCTCTGTCCTCCCCTGCTTCTTGCCCTACCCTCAACCCTGTGCACCCTATGCTATCTGTGAGAAGACACCTGCAGTCCAGGGCATGGCAGGAGGGAGTTCCAGAGTACCCACAAGCTATCCTGGGCCCCACACAGGGTTCCCCATCACTGGGCCCTGGCTAAGGTTGAAAGGCCAGGGTTGGCCAAATACTTTTGAGCACAGGAGGGTTTTTTGTCGTCCTTGTTGTTGTTGCTGTTTTTCCACTACTGAGGAATGACTCCAGGGCCTCTGCACAGAGCTACATCTCCAGCCCTTTCTCTCCTTTTTGAGGCAGGGTCTCATTAAGCTGTGCTCAGACTTTTGATCCTCCTGCCTCAGCCTCCTAGAGTGCTGGGATCAGGTGCAGGACACCACCTCGGTTTTCATGATGATTTCCATCTCAGTATTTTCCCTGGAACTCTTCCTGTGTTGTTCTGCATACAAACATGCTTCATCAACATCTTACATTGAGTGCAGTCTTTTATTTTTATCTTTTTACTTTTTGTCAGTACATGTTTGCAGTGTGTGATGATCACACTCATCTTGGGGAATGAATACATGTGTATACTACGTCTTGATTATTTTAATCCCGCCTTCCCCCCCCCCTTCTACAGACCCCTTCCTGTCCCCACACTCATGGAAGGGTCCCTTG